TGCTACAACCGACTGGATTTTGCTCTTGGAGAGCACTTATCCGATGGAACACCCCCTCATCGCATTCTCCACCTACGAAAGTTCAAGTGGATCCGATCGCCGTAACGCAATATCGGCGTAAATCGATCGGAGGCCTCGTCGAAACGTTTGAGAGAAGCTTGAGTTTTTCCTGGGCCGGGTAACTCGGCGTCCACTGGTCGGCCACCGCAATGGGAACACGCGGCTGGTGGGGCGCCCCGCAAAGTTACCAAATCGCTATGGCGTAACATTTTGCTTATTCACGTTCGATTATACAATCCGGCACACTTTTACTCGGCCTCTGCCTGCTCTCTCGAGGGAGCCTCGAGAGTGTACCTGCGCTGTGTCACCGATGTATCACGCCGATTGCCTCCAGACACCAGATGTCCCTCCCTCCAACAATTACCGCCGTCTCAATGTTTCGGCATACATTGACTCTCTTACGATCTTACTTGTCACGGATTGCACAGATTTCTCCCTATCGAATATAATGTATATAACGCCGAGACTTTCAGCTGCGCGAATTAATGGGATCGTTTTTTTGCAACAACCGGTGATCCAGTTCTGATCAGTCTCTTTTTCTTCATCGAAATCAATACAAAATTGCCATAGCAATGGCATCAAATTAAAAATTCTGGAGGAGGATTTCGAACTCGTTCACGCAACAAGGATAGAGATCCTTGTTAATGATAATGCAAAGCGAGGATAGAATAAATGTGTTCATCGATACAAAAAAAAAAAAAAGGAAAAAGCCACTTTCCAACCGATCGAATGGTGGTAATACACAGAAGAGTTTCCAATCCGCGGGATGGAAACGGGGTTAAACGCGTTGCCACGGTTCGGCAACACTTTCAATCAGGGAAAGTCCGGCGTTGGACGTTTCCTACTACTATTACAGGTATTGAAACTGTTACAGGTGAGGAGGTCTCGAGCTTTCGATCAATGAATAATAAGAAACATCGCTAAGAAAGAAAAAATTCGGCATAATTAATAAAAATCAAAGCGGTCAGGTGGAGCGAAATCGAAGCGCCTTTCCATTTGGCGCCTCTTTTCGCGGTGCAACCTTGGCTGCGATCCAATTCGAGCAACGGCTGGTTGAAATCACGACCAGGTGTGTGTCCCGGCGAAATCAGCTGTCGAACGCGATCGCGCGATTATTGGACCTCCTCTTGGTCGAGACTACAACTCTTTCGAAAAAAACCTTCGAGGAACCGCGAGAGATTGGCGCAATCGATCGAGCACACAGCTTGAATAAATATATATATATATATATATATGGAAGTTTCTTTCGAAATTATTCGATTTATCTTTGAAGAAAAATTCTTTGTTTCTTGCATCTAAGCGAGTTTTGAAAATTTGAAAATTTCTTTCCTATAACGTTATTATCCGTGTAAACACGGATTTGATTAGAGTATTTGTATTTGCGTAATTATATTGCTGTTTAAAGCTTGCTCTTACGTTTTACGTAATTAATTTCCAGACCGATCTATCCAATCCTTAAAATGTGGGATGGTTGGAGAAAGAATTAATTGAGCTACTATTTCTGAATGAATTGATCTGTTACGAAGAAAGTAACAGCAATAAATCTGTGGTTGGACGAAAGTGTGTCGGAAATAGAGAAGATTGTAATACAATAAAGGAAATGGATGATTGGGTAAAATGTAAGTGACTGTGAGCGCGACTGGATACGCGAAAGTATGATAAAGTATGAAAATCGTTTGATTAATTGGAGCGGAAAAATAATAAAATAAAATAAAAATAAATAATAAATGTGTATATTGTTTCTCCATTTCTTCCATACCCTACATTTCAATAGATCTAAAAAATATATATATATATTAATATTAATTTTTCAAAAAAATACTACAACTTTTCTCATGTTATTGATCGTATCGCGATGATGATCTTTCCTATTAATTATTCCAATTTTTTATTTAATTTTAATCTTCGAATTTTCTCCATCTCTCCCGGAATTATAGAGCCCGATACCTCGCATCACTAATGACACGCGACGATTTTCTCTCGAAGAAAGAAAGGTGCACGCTCGAAAGGGAAATCGCGCGGTTTTAAATGGAACGCGCGCGCGAGAAAATCGTTTGGGGCCGAGCGAGTGAGAGGAAAAAGGAAAACGGAGGAAGAAGAGATCGGAGCCGATCCTATCGATGCGCGTGACGACGGCCAGGAAGCGAATCTGGGCCGTTGAATCAGGGAAAAGCAAGTGGGTCAAGAGAACGAATGGCTCGGCTGATGTCGGGCGTCGCTGCGACTTCTGCCGGCGAGGATGACGAAGCTCGACGAGCAAGGTGGTATCTTCGTGTGCACGCACCACCTCCGCCTCTTTCCTATGCCATTTCCCTCCCCTCCTCCTACTCCTGAACCGAAGCGGATAGCTTTGGAACAGAGCTGCAAGGAGCCCGACACTCCTTTCACTTTGCATCTACCTGCCACGAGGAAGTCGAGAGCAGGAAGGCTCTGTCTCTGTCCCTCGTTTCGATAGACGTAGCAGACACGCTTCCTGTTGGCGTTCACCGGCGATGTGGTTACGTGGAAATCGAGCACGAGCTTGGCTTGACCGATATTTCTAGAGCGTCGTCGCTTTTAATTGGACCCCCCCCCCCCCTCCTCCCTACCCCTCCCGTTCACTGTCTCGAATTCGCCGCAAATCGCGGCTTGCCTGTCCCGAATGGTGCCGGTCGGTTATGCAGATCGAAGTGAAACTTGGTGGGTTTCGTGGATAAAAGGCAGGGGGGGGATTGATAATGAATGAACACACAGGAAATCTCGAGAGTTCTTCGAGACTCGAGAAAAGAAGCGGGTATCGGGAGGATCGTCTCGAATGGTAACTTACGAGTCGCGATTCGTAGTTGAAAATGAGGTAAAAGAGAATGAGGTTGAGAGAGGAAGTATATTTTTATGCTATTTCTTTTAAACCACGATTCGCACTAACAAACTCTATAGAAATATCAGGATCTATCCGTTTTATTTTATGTTAGTTATAGGCGGTGACAACATAACCTTACTTTTTACCTTACGTGGAAAGAAGAAGAAGGAAAACGAAATCGCAGCTTAAAAATGTTTGGAAAACACTGTTCTACCTTCGCGACATTCACCAAGTTGCACTTCTGTCATCTATTGTTCTTTAGAGAAACTATTTTTATTCATTTCGATATAATAATACACTCTATGCCAAACTCTACAGAAATATCAACGAACAATCCATCCTTTTGTTATTTTATTTGTTTTAGTTAAACCCACATAACCTTATCTTTTAAAAATGTTCTCATCTTACCTTGCGTGGAAGAAAAGAAAAGAAAGGAAGCAAGCGAGCACAGTTTAAAATGTTTGGAAAACACCGTTCCACTTTCACGACACTCACGAAGTTGCACTTCGACCATCTACCGGTGCCTTTCGGAAATATCTCGAATCGCAATTCGATTATTCGATAGTTCTCGAAAGCTTCCATCATTCGATCGAGATCTCGTAATCCGTGTCGCGGTTTCGTTCGAATCGCCGCTTATACAGAACACGGGGCTTATAGGTCGTAGCAAGAACGATGACAGGCTCGCGCGGGGATTAAGGGGTATTTATCGGGATTCGTAATGCGGTCAAATCGGTGAAGAGCGCTCTGATTATTCGGCCAAAGCGTTACGAGCTATTTTCACGAAACTGCCGGAACGAACAGTTTAGATTGGAACGCTCTTCAAATTATTCTACTAATTATTATCGTATCATTTTAATATATCGGATGATTTATTATACGCATATTATTAGTAATAATTTTTTTCTTCAATTAGCGATCTCCAGAAATCGATTCCTTCGAATTTATCGATTCTCCTTCGTATGGATATCTTTGAGTGAAATTATTTATCGAGCGTAATTACCTAAGAGGTCGAGACACTTTCTTTCCTCGTCTGGATTAATCGATACCCGACGAGCCGAAATAAACCCGAGCCGTATCGTTATTGCGTCACGACTATCGAATCTCTCTTTCTCGATATCTTTCGCGAGATATATTGAAATTACTGATTTGGTTTTGCCTTCGATCGAAAATTCGCCAAAATTTTTGATTCGATAACGAGGTCAAAGAAATATTTTATACTTCGTTCCATTTTTTTCTTTCGTTTCCTTGCTTCTTTAAAAAAAAAAAAAAAAAAGAAGGGAGACGAGAATGAATCGCACGCTTTATAATCGTTGCAACTATCTTAATATCGATAATATTTTTGATTTTTTAATAATTCTCATTTAAAATGTTGCGACTGTGTATGTGCATAATTTATCATAAATTTAAATTGCTATTATTTTTTTAAATTTCTTTTTTTTTTTTGCAACAAAGGTATTAATATTAATAAATTATCATTATTAATATTGTTATTATTATTTTCCACAGGCATTGTGCATATAACACCGGATTTCCGGAATGCAACAATATCGACCGATATATTTCCATAAGATTTCATTTAAAATTTCAATTTCCCTTGAAACGTTATAATGTTGCAAACATTTGCAATTCCGGAATTGAAGAACTTTGCCGCGATGACCTTTGTGCAACAATTACGATGCTTCTTTTAAAGCTCGCACGACGAATTGCAATAATATCGCCAATAATATTTCCGATTTTGTTGTTGTTTGAAAATATTTTTATCAAAACACATTTTATTATTCAGAATGAGATCAAAGCGACGAGACAATTAATTTTTCCAAAAATATCTTTCCATGGAATTGAAAGGGCCAGTGAAATATATAATTACATCTCTTTTAACAAATTTTATTCTTGATGAAACTTAGCAACACAGCAAGTATCTGCTTTTCAACAAATGGGCCTTTCAACAATGAAATAAGAGACATGGAAGGCATCTCTTTTTGACCACAATTCCACAACACAATTGACAATATTATTGATCGCATGCGGGCTTCTCGTTGGAGGAAAGAATTATTTCGTTTTAACGAAATAGAGAGAAGAAGAAAAATTTTGGTGAACTTACATGTAGGAGGCTGACGATAATGCAAGTGTTGCAGACTCTGCGTTTGATGATGGTGATGATGATGGGGCGGTCCCATTGCGGGGCCCATCGTGTGGTTCCCGTGTTGATGGTGAGGCGAGCTCCCTCTATGCGGATGGTACTGGGAGGGATGATGCTGATGAGGATGATAGGAGGGCGGCAGGAAGCCCGCCGTCGACGGATAAACACCAGGACTGTGACAGGCCGACCTGCCGAGCGCTGCTGTGAACAATCAATATAGAGATATCCAGTCCATAAACTGTGTGTTGATTTGACAAATACATTTCCTCCCACCAATCCTATTCGAAAGATCCTTTTCCTTTTATAAGCTTATATAAACATGTTATAATAATAATAATATTAAGAAATGCAGGAAAGTTTTATTTTGTTTCTCATTGTAACAATTGAGCGATACTTTTGCATATCGGTTCTTGTGCTTTATCAATCTAAACTTGTCCCACGAATAATGTAATATTTTCCAATTGTGATTATCTCCCCTATAAAAATCTACTGATGCTGCGATGATAAAAAGAAAGGGAAAAAAAGAGCAGATTTTTATAAATATTTTCAACGTGATAAACATTTTCATCTTCCTCATTTTTAAACCAATCCCCCTTTAACCTTTAACCCTTGCAATTTTCACTTCGATCCGTCCAACAGGAATTAAAAAGGCATACGCTTACTCATTCATGGAGAATCGTATATAAGCGAATAAAGATAGAATTGGAAGGATGATCGGTCTAACCAGTTTCGTGAATTATGACTTATACTCGTCTGGCTGGACGATTGAAAAAAAGAAAAGAAAAGTTCTCGCAATATCGTTTACTTATATACAGAGCAGATTGAACGTGTGCTTACCTGACGACAAATGAGAATGATGAGACGCTAGACTTGGCTGAAGGGACGAATTGGGATTGAGCCTTGCTTTCAATAAGAGATTCGCGTCCTCGTTACCGCCTGAGGACGTGCTGGACTCGACGTCGCTGACTCCGCTGTCCGCGGGGCTCGCTGGCAGTGATCCGCTCCCTGTTTGCCCGCGATGAAACAGAAATGCACGAGTTTCGTTTGGTAAATTGCGTAAACGAAGGGATTCTAAACGCACATTTTTGCAACGTTTTGCACGCTTATAAAAAAACGTCCTTTCCAATTGTTTCGACTCGATTCTTTCCGAAGATGGATTTTAATAGAAAGTAATTCAATTCTCATCGAAATCTAAAACTTCTTCGCGAGAATCGATCCTCGAGCTTCCATTCGATGATGTATATATATATCGAGAAATCGCGTGATCGTTGGAAAAGAAAATTCTCTCATCGAAGGCAAAATCGAGCGAGGCGCCATCTGGTCGAATTTCACGCGTGGACGGTGTTCCGTTTCTCCTCTCTTTGTGCCTTCGTATTAAGCGAATTAATGTCTTCGAGGTGGTCCAAAATGAAGGGGGACGACGACTTGGCTTTATCGAGCAACACCAGACGAACCGACGAACGTGTTTTCGCGTGCGCCGTCAATTAAAGGCATCTTTATGCAACGGGCGAAGGTCATCCGGTCATTGGGTATGCATATCGCTCGCGCTTCCCACGGTCTCCTTCTCTCTCGCGTGGCTCGAGAGAGAGAGAGAGAAAAAGAGAGAAAACCAGTCCTAAAAGGTCCAGTGTTTAAGGTTTCGAGAGAGAAGGCTTCTTCCTTCCTTCGTCCGTCTATCTTTCTTCAAACCGCCACCGCCACGTCGCAATCGACACGCTCCGCAAAGGGAATTACGCATCGTGTATGTGGGGCACGCACGCCGAAACTGTGCAGAAACTCGTGGCGATCTTGCAAACCGAGGTGTGCCTCTTAGAAGAAAATTATGCGCGTTTCGACTGGGCCGGCGAGGTACTCGTGAACCGGATCAGGTAGGAACACATCCGTGGCGAGGCTTATGCAACGATACACAACTGCAAAACGCCGAATCACGTGGTTCGGCAATTTGCGCGAAACTAGTCTTAACACGCGTTGTCTCGTTGCGTTGTTTTTTTTTTTTTTTTTTGTTATCGCTCCCCGAAAGAATTCCAGAAAGATCGAGGTCAGAAGTTTTAAAAAGTTTTTTTTCTTTTTTGCATGCTCGTCGCTTCGGATTTCTTCGTAAAAAAAAAAAGTCGTACGTTAATTACGCGATGAGAATCGATGTTGTTTTTTTTTTTTTATACTGATATATCGTTTAAAATGTTACGATGTTTTATTTATTCATTGAGGAAGAAGGAACATGGTGTCCAATTGGTGTTAGTTATTTAATGGTTCGCTCAAAATGTACAACATTCCCGATCAATTTCCTGATTAAAAATTATCGTAAAATTTGGTTTCTCTCGCTTTTAATTATTCCACGCGTTATCCCATCCCATCAATTTAGCCTCGTCATTCGAAAATAAAAGAAAAAAAAAAATCGTCAAAGAAGAACATTTAAGGAAATGCGGAGGTGGCCTCTGGCGTCTTACAGGTGTGTGAAATTCCCCCGTTCATCATCGGTACGGGAAGTCGAGAAATCGATATTGCCTGTCTGCTCGACGGCTGAACAGGAATTTTCGCCTTTTTATTGCCACACACACACAGAGGCGGACACGCACGCACACACCGCGTCGTCTCTAACGATCTAACATCAGAGGTTGAGGGGGGGGGGAATTGTTGCTCGAACGAGCCAGAAACTGGCAAACGGTTTTACCCGCGGCGTGCCTATGAAAAGCGCGAGGAGAGGAAAGTCAAACGTTTACCGGCTCGACGCGGCGAAGCCACGCCGGAAGTGATTTCCTGTCGGCTGTTTACCACCGGCCATCGATATTGCTTTGTAAATATTATTATTGGCCGAGTAGAACGCCGTTCCAATGGAAAATCGATGCGCGTAATCTCGTTTTACGGTGGAAGAAGAGAGAGAGAGAGAAAGAGAGAGAGAGAGAGAGAGAGAGAGAGAATAAAAATAAAGAAGAAGAAGAAGGAAGAAGAAGAGA